ACTGGTCCCGCCGCCCTGCCTCCCTAGCAACGGGGTCCCTTTCCCTTTAAGGCTTCCAAAAAGCACTCTCCAAAAAAAAAAAAAAACCTCTCCGGTTTCTTTCCACTCGCCGGGAGCTGGGGGGAGGGGCGCTCGGGTCCCACCGGGCCGGGACTTGTATCTTACCCCCTTCACAAGGTGCTGGGTTTTTGCAGGTGTGGATGTGGTCTGGATGTTGTCCTGTGTCCTCTGGTCTCTATTTTAGGAAGAGTTTTCTTTGTTATAGTTTCATAGCTCTATGTGTTTTTGGGAGGAGATTTCCACTGCTCTACTCACGCCGCCATCCTGGCTCCACCCATTTACTCTGTGTCTTTTGATTGGTGCATTCTGTCAATTTACATTTAGGGTAATTATTGAAAGATTTGTACTTATTGCCATTGCAGGCTTTAGATTTGTGGTTACCAAAGGTTCAAGGTTAGCTTCTTTACTACCTTACTGTCTAACTTAACTCACTAATTGAGCTATTATAAATGCAGCCTGGTAAGTATTTCTCTCCCTTTTTATTCCTCCTCCTCTATTCTTCATATGTTGGGTGTTTTGTTTGGTGCTCTTTTTAGTTTTTTTAGGAGTGCTCCCAACTAGAGCAGTCCCTCTAAAATACCCTGTAGAGGTGGTTTGTGGGAGGCAAATTCCCTCAACTTTTGCTTGTCTGGGAATTGTTTAATCCCTCCTTCATATTTAAATAATAATCGTGCTGGATACGGTGTCCTTGGTTCAAGGCTCTTCTGTTTCATTGTAGTAAATATATCATGCCATTCTCTTCTGGCCTGTAAGGTTTCTGTTGAGAAGTCTGATGATAGCCTGATGGGTTTTCCTTTGTAGGTGACCTTTTTTCTCTCTCTGGCTGCCTTTAATACTCTGTCCTTGTCCTTGATCTTTGCCATTTTAATTATTATGTGTCTTGGTGTTGTCCTCTTTGGGTCCTACCTGTTGGGAGTTCTGTGTACTTCCGTAGTCTGAGCAACTATTTCCTCCCCCAGTTTGGGGAAGTTCTCAGCAATTATTTCTTCAAAGACAGTTTCTATCCCTTTTTCTCTCTCTTCTTCTGCTGGTACCCCTATAATGTGGATATTGTTCCTTTTGGATTGGTCACACAGTTCACTTAATATTGTTTCATTCCTGGAGATCCTTTTATCTCCCTCTGCAGCACCTTCTATGCAGTCCTGTTCTCTGGTTTCTGTTCCATCAATGGCCTCTTGCATCTTATCCATTCTGCTTATAAATCCCTCCAGAGATTGTTTTACTTCTGTAATCTCCCTCCGGACTTCATCCCTTAGCTCTTGTATATTTCTCTGCATCTCCATCAGCATGTTTATGATTTTTATTTTGAATTCTTTTTCAGGAAGACTGGTTAGGTCTATCTCCTTCTCAGGTGTTGTCTCTGTAATTTCTTTCTGTCTTAGATTCTGCCTTTTCATGGAGATAGAGATAGTTTGCGGAGCTGGGGTGAGTGACAGCTGGGAGAACGTCCCTTCCTGCTCGTTTGTGGCCTTCCTCTCCTGGTAGAACAGTGACCTCTAATGGCTTGTGCTGGGCAGCTGCGTGCAGACAGGGCCTCTGATTCCTGCCTGGATGCTATGGAGTTTAGCTCCGCAGTTGCTGTGGGCATGGTCTGCCTTGGGCTGCTGCTCCAATATGGCGAAGCTGTGTCGGAGGGGAAATGGACGGGAGGCTGTTTATCTCCATGAGGGGCTTCTGAGCCACCCTGCTGCACAGGGGGTTAGGGTGCCTAGATTTCCCCAGGATTCCCAGCTGCTGGGCTAAGTGTCCCAGTACGCTTCCGTCCAGCTATGGGGTCCCTGTCCCTTTAAGACTTTCAAAAATCTCTCGCTTTTCTTTGTCCCCAGGGCGCCAGCTGCGGGGACACACTCATAGGTCTTACTGTCCTGTTTCCCTAGTTTCCAGCATCCCACGCATGCACTGTGTGTCTGCACTCTGGTGCGGATGGCTAGGGCTGGGTGTTTTGCAGTCCTGGGCTCCCTCTCCCTCCCTGCTCCAACTCCTTTCCTCCTGCCGGGAGCTGGGGTGAGGGGCTCCTGGGTCCCGCCAGGCTGCGGCTTGTATTTTACCCCCTTTGCGAGGTGCTAGGTTCTCGCAGGTGTGGATATAGTCTGGTTGTTGTCCCATGTCTTCTGGTCTCTCTTTTAGGGACAGTTGTATTTGTTGTATTTTCAAAAATATATGTGGTTTTGGGAGGAGATTTCCGCTGCTCTACTCATGCCGCCATCTTGGGTCCGCCTCTGTCTCCATTGTTTTAAGCAACCAGTTCAAGCAAAGTTTTACTTAATATTTATGGTACTTGGGTTGTGTGTCCATAGGATCCTCCTGGAATCTTGGGTGTTATCATTGCGAAGCCAAAAGGTAGCAGACCATTGTCATTTTTTAGAGGAAAAGGTGATGTTAGAGAGACTTGGGTAGAATTAGTACTTTTTAGAATCTGTCCAATTTGGTAGCTGCTAGCCACATGTGGCCATTTAAATTAATTGATTTAAACTAAATAAAATTTGAAATGCAGCTCCTCAGTCACACTAGCCCCATTTCAGGTGCTCAGGGGCCACATGTGGCTAGTGGCTACCACATTGGACAGGGCTGATATAGAACACTACCATCACTGTAGAAATTTCTGTTTGACAGTGTGAATCTAGAATCACTCTCAAGTTACCCCAAACAAAATGGTGAGCATCATGAGTTTGGGATGAGGTTGGGGTGGCCCTAATTTCATGAGTTTATCAAGTTAGTCCAACATTTTGCATTTCACTGTTTTGAATTCTGGCCACAGGGGCCCAGGGTAAATAGATTAGCTCCACTGATGATGTCAGAACTTGGATGAAAATAGTCAACATGTAGTCTTTATAAGCAGTTCTCGTTACACAGAATTAATTTTATTCTTTATAAACAGTATTTTTTTTTCCTCCTGGTAGAGATCAGTTAAAAAAACAGAGGGAGAAGGAACTAAATTTCATTTGGCAGCTTTTACCATATATAACTATTTTCTTCATCATAAGAGGGGACATACTTAAGCCTTTTCTCCTACCTGTAGGCTTCCTATTTTATCTAGGCTGATAAAGTAAATTTGTTTTGTCTTTATTGATATGGAAGCCATTTACAAAGATTCATACACCTAGTTCAAAAATGGTGGAACAGAAAGGAGAGAGCAGTAGTGGCAGACTGGAACTGTCACATTCTTGGCCCTTCATGCCCTTCAGATCACATAAGGTCGTTGCTCCTGTCCCCACAGTAACCCTCTCTGGTTTGTCTAAGAGCTGTCATGTCACCTGGCATTCTGGTAGGCTGTCTGAGAGACACTGCGGTGACTGTCATTCTGCCTTTCTGAGTCTGCACTAGGGAGCTCATCAAAGCAAATCTGTCTGCCATGAAGTGACTTTGTGCTGCTGTAGAATCCACAGAGCAAGGCCTGATGTTGGATTCCGACCTGGCTGACAAAGTCTCCATATAGAGGACTTTTCTCTATGTGATGTACATTAGGAGACTCTGAAACAGGTGGGGGGGTCAAGATCAACAGCTAGGAATTCAATATGTGACTGCTCTTCTAATACTGGTATGTTTGGGAACACCAGGTGCGCTGAGGCTCTGGTGTAACCTTTGGTCAGCCCTGGGACCCCTGAATTTGATGGATTTCATGTCCAAAGATCTCTGAGATTTGTTGCTTGGAGGGCCCCAGATAATGTCCAGTTATCAGGACAAGACTCCAGCCCTCAGAAATTCCTGCCTGGAAGCAGCCTCTAGATACATAGCAAAGTCTGTCTCATTCTCTACAAAGATCCCATAAAACCGCAGGCCCGTTGGGAGGAAATCTGGTATTAGGTACACCACAGGTTTTAACTAAGTGCTCAGAACAGTGTGTGGCATAGTAGGCACTCAGCACATATTTGCTGAATGCATGAATTCACCTTATGGTTTTAAACTTTGCCTTTGGCAAAATGGTGGGGGTAACTGTTCCCTTTCCTTCTATAAGCCCCTCTTTCTATGGACACATTGGGTTAGTGTTTGACAAGCCAGGTCAGAATCCAACATCAGGCCTCTGCTGTGTGGAGACAGGGTAGAGGTTGGCTTTGAGAGGGTGGGTACATCTGTGTTGTCTTCTATTCCCCTTTTCCACTGGTCTCTTCTCAAGGAATAGCCTGGGCATCACAGGTGGGGACAAGGGAGGGAGAGGAGGTGTCTGACTTGGCACGTTACTAAGCCAAGACAACTACCTAGGGCTTTCATGGAATTTGTTTTAGGTGGGTTTTGCTGCCTTGCTTTTTCTTTTGGTGTTCAGTTGATCTCAGATGTGTCAGTTCTCAGGTCATCTCTGCTGTGGGAGGATATGGGAGCACGAGGATAAAAAGTTAATGCTATGTATGCTGAAATATTTAGGGGAAGTGTACTGCTGTCTGCAATTTTATTTGAACTCATCTAAAAAGTAAGATGTATGATAGAGAGATGGAGAGATATGTAACAAAGAAGATACACCAAAATTTTAGTGGTAGAATCTAGGTGGTGGGTATACAGGGGTTCACTATAAATTCTTTCAACACTTCTCTGGATAGATGACAAAATTTCATAACAAAAATTTAGGGAAATAAAAGCAGGTCAGGGCAAAAGTGAGGAAGCAACAGATAGGAAAAGGCCTGGTGCAGTGGGACCCACCTCTTGATAACTGGGACCATCTGGTACAGGAGGAAGATGGACAGTTGCCAGCTCATGCTGCTGCCTAGAGGCCTTGCTTAGGATATAAGCACACAGGATTTATTGTCCCTCCTACTCCCAGGGATCTGATGTGGTGTACAAGCTCTTTCTCATGTCTTTTGCATGACAGCCTTCCTCTTCTTTTAGCTAACTACTCCTTCAGCTTTGGGAAGATGATCAGCCTCTTGGCTACTTCCAGTCAGCATGGCTGCCATGGTCTAAGCTAATCTTCTGTGTTTCTCCTTGTCTTTCTCCCTGGTAATTTACAGAGTTGGTGTTGATCCAGATCAAGACCCACCACCCAACAATGACAGCTTTCAAGTCTTACAAGGGGTAAGTCACAAGAGATGCTTCTTTCCAGGGAAGACATTATTAAAAATAGCTAAAATTTATCAAGCATTTACTATATATGCCAAGCCCTTAATATGAATTGCCTCATTGTGATCATGACAACAGCCTTATGAGGTAGGTACAGTTATCTCCATTTTACAGATTAGAAGCTAAAATTTGAGAGCTTAAGTGAGCCATCTAAGGTTGGAAGATTAGAAAGTGGTGGAGCTATGATTTGACCCTAGAGTCTAAGTTCTTGAACTACATATTAAGTGGGTGGGTCAGCCAGAAAGACTGTTTAAACTAAGTCCGCGACTCCCTACTTTCTAAGAATGGCTAAATTGGATACAATGGTGATTGGGTCACTGGAAATGGTTCGGAGTCTCTCAGTGGTACAGGAGAAGGAGAAGGAGAAGGAGAAGGATGTAATCCAACTCTCCAGCCCAGGGAATTTGAGGAAGAGAGGAGGGTTACTGGGGGCTCACAGGGCCTGGGACACTACAACTCTGTGAGTTACCCTCCAGCCCAGCTGTGGCAGAGCAGCAGCCCTCACCCCCATAGGAGCTGAAGGTCACCACAAGGCTGACAGTCAGGGCTTGGGCAGGGTGGTAGCAGCGATGACAGACAGCCTACTACAGAGTGCTGGGGAGGGGAGCTGTAGAGACCATGAGTGAAGAGCCCTCTGGCAGTGTCTAGTGTGATAGGAGGAATTTATGGGGGAGGCACAGGCTGGCCTGTGCTTTTGCCATCTGCCCCAGGTACTGTTGCTGTATAACAGCTTGCCCTAAACATAGGAAGGTGAACAACAGTTTTTCATACCCATGAATCCTCAAATTGAAAGGGCCTATCAGAGACAGCCTGCCTTTGCTACATGTAGAAAGCTGCAGGTAACCCGACAGCAGAGGGGCTGGAGTCATCCAAAGGCTCACACACTCATGTGTCTGGCACCTGGGTTGGGGGTCTCCAAGACTAGGACAGCCAACTCAGGGCCCACACATAGCTTCCCTCTGGGCCTCAGGGTATTGCACTGCTTACATGATGACTCAGGGTTCCTAAAGGCAGTATCCCTGCAAGTGAGGTGGAAGCTACCTTGCCTTTTCTGACCTCTCGTTGGTGTTCTCACAGTGTCACTTCTGTGACTTTGTTTGGTTACAATGAGTTGCTCAGGTCAGCTCCGATTCAATGGCAGGGGATAGAGACCATCACCTCTGGATGGGTAGAGTGTCAGCGAAGCAGCGGATGCTTTTTAAAGTTGCCATATCACCCTTGTTGTGGGGCTGGTGGAATGATTCTGTCTCTAGGCTCTGCCCCTTCCCCAGACTGGCATTGCCTGGGCAGGCAAGGTGAGTTAGGATGGAGCAGAAATGTGTTAGCAAAGTGTTGTTATTTGGCCTTGGGAGTCAAGAACTATTTTGTTAGCACTGACTACCCAATGCTCAGCCCAGTGCCTGGCGCTCAACAGGGCTTTGATAAGTAGATGGTGGAGCAAGAGACTCAACAGTGCAGTGGAAGTTTTGCTGACCACATGCATGTGTTGTCTGTGAAACAGTGTCAGGTGCTTCTTTTTCCTCCAGTCAGCTTTATTGCACTCATCAGTGCACTTAATCCTAAATGCAGTCTACTTATTTCAAATTCTGTGGGCTCTTCTAAATGATTCCATCTACCAAATCAGATTTTACTAGTCTCACAAACTGTGGTGCTGGGAAGTGCCCAAGGTGGGCCAGTACAGCTTTTATGATTTTTTTGGAGGGTCAGAGCCTGGTAAGGCGTTCTTGGTGTTGCTTTCCCATAAGGGACACAAAGCCATGACCTCTGAAAGTTCTGGACATTTTCGGAAGGGTTTTCCATGAGCTTTGTTGGAGATGATAATGGTGCTCACTTTAACAGTGCTCCAGAAGACTTTTGAGGTTGTGTCAGAATTGGTCATTGTGCCAGTTGGGAACATGTGGTTTCAATGAGAAGTTCTCTTAGAAAAGTTGCCATTTGGCTCTAGCTTTGATTAAGGACTTTAGAAAACAAGGGTTCAGGAATTGTACACCTGGAAGCTAACTTAGCATATAACAGTTGGGGAGATCTTGAACTCACCCTGAGAAAACCTGGGTGAAAAGCGTAACAGATACCTTTGTTTCACTTAAAGGAAAATAATGGTTCTGGTAGGTTATGAGCACCCTATCCCAAAGCATCCTCCACAGGACTGCCACCAAGATGATGTAAGAAAAACTGGCTAATTCCAGCCCTTTTACTGTTTTCTACTGCTCCTGCCTCTGCCTCAGGCCTGAAGCACCTATAGAAGGAAATGCATGGAACTGTTTGGTTGGTTTCACATAGCTGACCTCACTACACAGCTTGTAAGGACTGTCTGTGGACACATGGGCTTGTAACTGGACTTCCATGGAAATGTTTGAGGAAGCAGTGGGTCCTGAGTGCTAAGGGCTCTGGCAGTGCATTTAGTCCATGCAGTGACAGCTAATATGCGCCCTCTGCCCCAGGTGGGGTGAGCCTCAGAAACCACCCTGGATAGATGGGTCTGGCGGGGCCAACCCAAGAAGGCCCTTTGGGCCAGTTGTGACTGGGCAGGTGGCAGCCTTATGCAGTCATGCTGAGGGCCCTCAAAGTCCGTTCCACTGGCATTTTGAAAGTCTTTCATGACTGCTGTCAGACTGGGAAAAAAGGGCAAATTTCAAGTGTGGTTGTCCAGGACAGCTTAAGAATGACTCATGCCCTTGTGCATGAAGGGCCTTATTTCTCTAAGTCCTCCTGACCTGACCTTCTTGATCCAGTGAGCCACTATCAGCAGGTCTGGGAGTACTCAGTGGTCATGAGAAACAGTAAAATGGAGAAATAAATGGACTGCTTGTTTTGGGTGAAACTCTGGGTTCTTGCTGTTTCCCCTGAAATCGATCCAGGTCACATGCTCAGTGATGTCATGAAACTGAAATCCTAGGTTGGGAAAGTCCAGATGTTTGTTCCCCATTAGAAAAAAAAAAGGCAGTTTTCTTTACCTCATTTTCTAGATGATCTTCCTAACAACAAACAAAAAAGTGCTATTTGACAGGAAAGCATTTCTTATAATGAGCACAATTTTCCTCACTGTTTCTAGAAGTCCAAAAGTCATGGCTACAGAGCCATAGAATATTAGTTCATGTGGGAGAAGGGAAGGAGCTGTTGGCCGAATTTTTGGCTTTAAGTGAGGGAAGCATAAGAATATTGTGGGCAGACTTCAGCTTCATGTCCCTGGCAGGTCTGACTCATTAGAACAAAACAAAACAAAAAAACTCAGTTGCTTTGTTTCTCCAGAGGTCTTGGTGACTTTGCAACAAAAATAAAAACAAGCCCAGCTGGAGACAAGCCACCCGAGCCTGGGGTTGGCCTCCCACCCCATTCAAAGGAGGACTCCTGATGCCAGACACAGCTGAGATTTTTGTTGGCCGAACATGCAGACACATCATTCCCTTCCTTCCCTGAGTCTGCAGAGGAGCGCTCATTGATGAGAGTGCTCTGGAGGAGCTAGGAGCACGAGTCTGAGGTTATCCTGGCTGTCTTATCTCCACAGGACAAAGTCACAAGCAGGATATTAGTGGAATGTGGAGGAAAGGAAACCACTGTGCTTGCGGTGCCTGCTTGTGTGTGTGTGTGTGTGTACGTGCATGCACACATATGTGAAGACTGCAGAGAATCTGGTGTTTACAGTTGCACTGACATGTAACTTTCTGTACAAGTTGGATTTGTTCATTTCTCACTCCTCCTCTAGTTTTCCTCCAGGCTGATACCCAGGTAAAGGTGAAAGGTTCAAGTAATCTTTACTTTCAACAGTTGAGGTGCCTGTCCTGGAATTACTGCTCTCTGACCCTCTCCCCACCATGGATTTCTTTTTGTTCTTCTGATGACCTCCCTTGGCTCCTGATTTCTCTTTCTGCTATTCTTTTTTTCCTCTTAACAGTTCAAAATTAACATTAATTTATCCATTCATTTAGCAAGTATTAATTAAGCACCTGCTCTATTTCAGACATTCTTTCAGGCTCTGGGAATACATCTGCAAGTAAGACAGATGGAGCTTCATCCTTAAGGGCTGGGTGACAATGTGATGAAGAGTGAGGTAGAGAGTGAGAGAGGCAAGATCATGGAGGGCCTTGTCTGCCTTTCCACAAGGGAAGGGGCTCTCCTTGCTGTTCTGTGTGTCCCGTGGACCAGCAATCTGGACATCACCAGAGAGCTCCATAGAAATGCAGACTCTCAAGCCTCACCTAGACCCACTGAATCAGAATTTCCTTTTAACAGGGTTCCTGGGAGGGTTGTGTGCACCTTATAATTTGAGAAGCCCTGGAGTAGGCAATGTAGAGCCCTTGATTCCCTGTTTTTAAGCCCTGTTATTAGCCGCTTCTGAGAATTTTAGCCCCATCATCCCAGGGACATGAAAAAGGCTTAAAAACATGTCTTTTAAGCCTCTTACTCTTTTTCCACATTAGTTTACTCTTTTTCCACATTAGTTTTCTGTGGTTGCTGTAACAAATTACAGCAAACTTAATAGTTTAGAACAACACAGTCTTAGAGTTCTGTAGGTTGAAAGTGTAGTGGACTCTGGTGGTTTCTGTTTCAGATCTCTCAAGGCTAAAATCAAAGTGTCTGTGAGATGGGGCTCTAGGGAAGTAAGCCTTCCATGCTCATTCAGGTTGTTGGTAGAATTCAGTGCCATGTGGTTGTAGGACTGAGGCCCCATTTCCTTGCTGGCTGTTGTCCCAGGATCAAGCTCAACAACTAGGAGCATCCACATTTCCTAGCCCTTGGCCCCCTCCCATCTTCAAAGCCAGCAGCAGTGGGGCTAATCCCTGTCCCACTTTACATCTCTCCTGTCTCTTACACTGCATCTCTCTGACTCTTGTGCCCTGCTCGTCCACTTTTAGGGGCCCATGTGATTACATTGGGCCCACCTGGGAAACCTGAAGTCCATCTGCAAAGCCCCTTTTGCCATATAACCATAATATACTCACAGGCTCCAGGGATTT